ACCATTCCTCACTCCGGATGACAACTGAACAAAACGAAATTGCTAGGAAAGTGAAGAATGCATCTTGATAAATCAGCTGTTTTCTAAACTAATTCTCACGAACAAAATGTCACTTTCTATGACAACTGTATACAAACTTGTTTTTACAAATCGAGAGGGAACATAGTCCCTCAATTAACATCTTCCTAATAAACTAACAGCGATCACTGACGTAGTATATGTTGTACGGTTGAGATGTGTACGATAAGTAACATTGTTACAACTACAGCGTTGTAGACGTATCACGTTATAGCGTTATAGCGTCGTCGTGTGTATCCAGCAAGCGGCAATACAGCGGTTAATGTGATCTAATTAACATCGCGCCTCGCAAGGCACAGTCGCTAATCAATTGTCTTACAATACAATATCTCATTAAATGTGCCAACATGGCGGATACAACTGTACAAAATAAAGAAAATAATCCCTCAAATGAGGCCCAATAATATTAACAGCGATCACTGACGCAGCATATGTTGTACGGTTGAGATGTGTACGATAAGTAACATTGTTACAACTACAGCGCTGTAGACGTATCACGTTGTAGCGTTATAGCGTCGTCGTGTGTATCCAGCAACCGGCAATACAGCGGTTAATGTGATCTAATTAACATCGCGCGTCGCAAGGCACAGTCGCTAATCAATTGTCTTACAATACAATATCTCATTAAATGTGCCAACATGGCGGATACAACTGTACAAAATAAAGAAAATAATCCCTCAAATGAGGCCCAATAATATTAACAGCGATCACTGACGCAGCATATGTTGTACGGTTGAGATGTGTACGATAAGTAACATTGTTACAGCTACAGCGCTATAGACGTATCACGTTATAGCGTTATAGCGTCGTCGTGTGTATCCAGCAAGCGGCAATACAGTGGTTAATGTGATCTAATTAACATCGCGCCTCGCAAGGCACAGTCGCTAATCAATTGTCTTACAATACAATATCTCATTAAATGTGCCAACATGGCGGATAATCCAGCTGAAAGAAACACTCCAGCTCGACATTGCTTGGCTTGTAAAGCACATTCGCCTTTGTCAGAGCCTCTTTCACTCGATGCTCTTTTCTAATTAGATACAGTTCTGTTGAGGATTCCTACCTCTTGTGTTCTCTTTGGGGTTTTAGCTTGTTTCGAATCGCGAGTAATTAGTAGACAGTGGCGTTGTGTTTTTCGGGTATAAAATACTAATTGGCGTTGTGTTGTGTAGTTGATGTGAGAATGCGCCGATCCTTAACTTTGTTTCAATACATTTAATGGGTCAAATCCCTTTTGGACTGATACAAGGATAATGCATCTAGCGCGTCGCAACCCATGACCTTAATTCTATATACAAGATAGTATTAGAGGTGTTCTCGTTTCGCAATTTTAATTTACGTATCTTTAGACTTGAATTAATACTCCCGCAGCAGCAAACCTGCAGACTAAGCTGACCTTAAAAACTAAAAAGTAAATCGGTCCCGGGTCCAGGTCTTACCATGAGACCTACGGTAATAGCTTAATCCCTAGATGGGAAATTCGCTAAAATTACATTTATTGCAGCAAAAAGGCTGTTTTCAATACCAAGCTCAAGAAACAAATGTTGTCCCTAAAAGAAAAAAATATCAGTTTGAGCTGGAATCGAGGACAAATATTTTCATTTTTCCATACATAGTTGCATTTTGTTAGTTTTATATAGTTTGTAAAACAGCCGGTTTCTCAACATTTTACTTTGCCCACTCCAAGTAACAACTGAATCAAACACAATTTAGGCCTAGGTTCTATGGATGGATAAAATTAAACAAATAAAAGATAAAATATGTAGGACTTGAAAATGTGATTTAAAGCTCAAACTGTTTTAATTTTTGAACGTCATTGAGTTTAATTAATGATTAAATTTTGTTATTACGTAGTACGGTTTTTTTAGTTCTTATAAAATAAATCTATATACAAAATACAAACTTTTTCTCGTTTAAAAAAAGATAACTCTGACAAGTTGCACAAATATTTGTATCCAAAATCGTTTACTTAATCTTTTAAAAGTAGGTACCGGTAAAAAGGTGGTTTAAAGTAGGCCCGTTGATCGTCGTCGTTGTAGACCACTTCACCTACTACGGCAGTAGCCCCGACTCCCGCACGGTTCTCACCCTGTACCAGGGGGTCGTCGGGTCGCCCAATCACTCGCCCCCCGCGGTGGTGGCGTTGGTGGCTCAGTGGCTGTTGGCGTGCAATTAACATCGCCCACCTTACAACCGCAGCCACTTACATTCACACCATGAGAGGCCCTTGTATTGTCGCCAGTCAGGGCTTATACGGGTAATTATAGGGCTTGTGGTATCGCTAAGGACTCTTAGGACTAACTGTGTTCTAAAGTAGAATTATTTGATTGGAAAGTAAGCTTGGATTTGAGGAACCGATTGCGGTCCTTGTATTTGCCAGGGTTTCGTGCGGCCCACAGTTTCGCTAAGGGTGCATCAGTCTCAAACTGTGTAAAATATCAAACCATTTGATTGGAAAGTAAGCTTGAATTTGAGGAACCAATTGCGTATGTATGTCTTGGGGTTACATATCGTATCCTTGTATTTGTCAGCAGTCAATTACTTGACAGGAATGTAACCGTGAATTTGAGGAATCAGTAGCGTGTATTTCCACCATTGTATCCTAGTATTTGCCAGCAGTCAGTTACTGAAAGTCACCAAGTTCGCGGTTTCGCTTACGGTACTGAGGACTCAAACTGTGTTCAAAAGTCTATTTGTTTGTAAAGTAGGCGTATATTTGAGTAATAGTTGCGTATCTAAGACGTCCCTACATAGTGTTTACGAGTAATCATCATTGTCAAGGTAAATGTTTGCCGTAACCGGACACAGGATCGATGGACGACGATGCGGCGCCGAAGACCTTTAAATGTCACCATCTCCGTCACTTCCTCAGTTTGGTCCTGGATGTGACGCGAGTATACGGTTACCTATCCTTGTACCTATAACTTGTGCCAGGAATAAGTGGAATAAATATTACGGTTCTGTTTAGTTACACAAATTAGAATGGGTTTCAAACGTTAAATATCGTGTGTAGCTTTTTCCATCTTTGGAGTTTGGCGATTTTGAGTGTTTAGTACGTCGCACGCGCTTTTTGGTTTTCTTGGTGTCCTTGCTTATGCCGATACGAAATGCGTTCTTCAATGAAACGATCGTATGCACAATCTGTAGACAACACCGAGTGTGCCACTCCTTAGGTTATACCATGTTCGTGCATTCTCGGTGAGTTGTGACGTCATCATGTCGGTGATCGTGTCGCTGAAGAAGTACATCATGGACGCGGACATGTCGCTGTGCACGGAGATCTTCATGACGCTGGCGTGTATGCGAGGCATGGGCCGTGACGTGGCGACAGGCACGGGCAGTGTCGGTGGAAGACAACCTCAGAGGTGCGGGTTTAGTGACACCAGCGACACGGATGGCGAAGACGCCACGTGGGTGGACGACGCGGTGTGGTATGACTCTCTGTGGATGGACGACGACCACGAGCAGAGTCTGGAGTTAAGCTACTGCTCGGAGGTGAGGGAAAGCAACTATAGTTCGGCCGCATAGAAAACGACCTGTGTGCTAATGCTAAACCAATGCTAGAGGAGGTCGCTTTCTAAGCGGCCGAACTATAGTCTTGGAATGCCGTTGGAAAAGGTCTAGTAGGGTCTAGGAAAGAATACTTGCAAAAGATGTAAAACTCTTCTGAAACAAGTTATGTTGAAAGATGTTGTGCTATCCCGGTGTTCTCCAAATTAAATGCGGTACTTTTGTGTGAAGCCGACTCACAATCGCCAATCGCTTAGGCAAATAAGTTTAAAGATATAATATAAATGGCCGAAGTATGGAAAAAATTGCACGTCCAATTAGAATTTTGGTTTTAATTTTAGGAATAGCTTTGACGAATTTGACTAAGATTTCTACCTACGCAATGTCGGATTATTACAGTAACCTTTTGAACAGAAAACATTGGAGCATATGATTCGGTTCAAATTTCACGAATGGATATAATTAATTAATTTCACGAGTTTAAGTGTTTCCCCTTGTGTTTTTATTATATCTGTCGCAAATGTGCAAATTATTGCAATGTAGAGTACAAATGATAGAATTGGTTAAATAAGCCTTACATAAATTTAATTAAAACATCATGTAGACTTTTTTAGTTTCTGCTCTTAGTTACATAATGAAGCGGAAACATCATTTTGTTCTCATTCTAAAATTTCACGAAGTACAGTACATAATTATTTTAATTTTTTTATGGGAGTGTAATGTGTGAATAGTACGTCAAAGAGACATTCCCGCTGAGAGCGTAAATATCCCTGTAATTATAAATTAAATAAATACAATTGAAGTATCATGTGTTTTAAGAACCCTTCTTGTTTATACAAAGAGACAAAGAGCCTATGCTTTTTCTACTGAAACCTCTTTGTTATCAGATTTATCTTCTTCTGGACTGAAGTTAGAATTGTGAAACAACTTGAAAATTTCCCCTAACTAAGAACTTTAGATTCTGGGAAATTATTAATTCCAACCTCTCTGTCCTAGTAATGCTGTATGCTGTATCATGATTAAAAATATATCGGCATTGACGACACGGGCGAAGAGCTGTTTCTAAAGCAAGGGGACATTTCTGTTTCCTAACCTCCTTTCCAGTAGCACCGTGTAATGGTGAACAGTCACGGGCATGGGCTCAGATAAAGAGCTTCTGCTTCTAAAACGGAATGTTCATTATTAGCCTTTTTTCTGTACCTTAACCTCTCTTTCCAGGAAACATACATGGAGGATGGAAGACCTAGCACAAATGAAGAGCTAATGCTTCTGAATATGGAAACTTTTCCAAATCTAACGTCTTTTCCAGTATTCCTATATCAAGTTGAAAAGGAGATCCATTGGCGTGGGACTGAGGAGCTGCTGTTTCTAGGAATGGGGACAACTCAAATAACCTTATATCACCTTTTCAGGAATATTGCAACATGATGAAGAGAAGATCGCGAGACATGGAGACGGAGACAGATGAAGAGTTGCTGCTCCTGGTGTTTCCCGCCAATACTCCAGCTGACCATTCCAGCGGCAGTTTGTCCAGTAGCGTCAGTCTCAGTGACAAGAGCGTCTCTACAGATAACAACCAGGTGGAGGAGTACATCGGCGACGTCCCCTTCGCTGGTGAGTCACTTTGTATTCTGCATGGAGTGTTTGGTAGTTTGAGGGTTCGAAGAATTGCGTTGCCGTTTAGGCCGAAGAGGACCAATGCCCAGAGAAGACTCGTTCAGTGAGACCTCGAGAACACATTCGTCGAGACCTCACGCCAAATATGATTTCGTTACATGAGATTGAACTGATTCGTTGTTTAGTTTGATTTTTCTCTTAGGTAGGTTAATAGACAGTGATTGCGGTTCTTAGTACGACTGATGTAGGAATCGTGTAAATTGAGTAAGAATCCCAAGAACAGTGTTCATTGTAGTTTTGTCGATATAACATGCGTTACAAAATTTAAGTTAAGCAAGACACAAATCTAAATCGAACCAGGAATACCTTAAAGACACCAAAATTTCGTCAGAAGAATATGCTGAAATGTATTGTATTCTTTTAAAACATATTTTGTTTGTTTTTAAACTCGTGAATGTTAATTTTCTTTAATTCTAGAGGTAAAAAAATCGCCTAATACAACTGTGTCTTCTTTGCAATGCGCCCTAGGACAATCAAAATTCAAAATATGTAATCATTGATTCATCAACACATCGTTTTAAATTGGCTCAAATATATCTTGCGACCTTTAAACACAGACAATTTCTTCTGTTTGGAATTAAACATAAACATATATTTTATCTAGTAGAATCAGAATTGACACAACCCACCCGTTTATACGTAATAAAACAGCTAACCCCGACATTGCTCACGGTACAATCACATTTATTAGTTTCAACAGTTACCTTCAACTACTAACTACTCTAGTTTACATTTCGATGACACGGTTGTGGACACCAGCTATTAGGTGTGTAGAGTGTAGGCTAGAGCTGGGGTGACAATAGGATGCTAATATATGCAGACCGGACACCGGATGCACGGACCACCCGCCGGATGTTCCTCTCTGGGTCAACTGTCCTATCCTCCCCCGTCGCCCGTCGTCGCCGGATTATAATTGTTCTGGACGGTTTCACATTTTGTCCCCGGCTTGTTAACGTTTTTGCCGATCCCACGACCGCGTAACGACCCGCTATTAAGCCGCGTTTACACCAAAGTTGACAACCAGGTTGTCGACTAGTTTCGGAAACTTGTTGCTTTTTCTACAAAATGCAGCAACTTTTTCCGTCGTCAACTAGTGGAGCAACAAGTTTTCCACTAAATTTTGGTTTCCCGCGGAGAGTCGGTAAGATCAAAGAAAGTTGACAACAAAAAGTTGAAGACTAGTTGCTACGCGCTTTGCGCAAGCAACTTGTTGAAAACTAGTGGAGAATTATTCCCCTTCCCATATTGTATACATATTGTAAATGTGTATTATTGAATTATTTTAATTATTATAATAGGGTAAATGTTACGGTAGCTATCTTTCTAACTTATTTTAATACAATTATGGCTGATAACTCTGGATGTGTACAGAGCTATAGACCACGCCTGTGGCCTGATTTTGATTAAAATTTGTATGTAGGTACTAATCCATAATATCTCCAGGTATTTTAAAATTTTTTATAGAGATTTTGATTTTTAATGGTGATTTTCCCATAAAAAGACGGAAAATTTGATTTTTTCGGAAATGGCCGAAACGACTTTAATAAAGACTTAGTATGATAAATAAAGACCCTTGAATTACTACCTTTGAGGTCCTTGTAGTTCTAAACAATATACAGTCGTGCAGCGACCTAATATCATAGTAACATAGTTACTAAATACCTATTAAATATCATTATTACTCTAATCACTTATCAACGATAATGGTTGTTGACAAGCTAATGGGAGATAGTATGTGCCAGATTGCTGATTCAATAATGTAACTGAAGTAAACATTATTTTCTGTTTAGGAATGATTGCACCTTCTTCGTCCGACGACATCCTTACACACTGTACTGATTATTACGCGCCTATTCTTTGGCAACAAGTTTTCCACTAGTTGCTCTAAATTAGTGAGGAGCAACATTTAGTTGTCAACTTTTAGTTGTCAACTTTTGGTTGTAAACTTTTGGTTGTCAACTTTTGGTTGTCAACTTTGGTGTAAACGCGGCTTTATGCGTGGTCAGATGTATTATGCATGCGTCTCGTAATTGTTTGGTAAAACGTCCCAAACCGCCTCAGGGAAATGTGTGAGAATGTTGGTGGACCTTGGTTGGACACGCTGAGGTGGTACAATGTTTGTATATGTACTGGCAAAAATAAGTTGTAAGGTACTTGATCAATGGTGATAGATTCATAGATCAAATTATAGGCGTAACCAGAGGGTTTTGGTTGGGAGGTACTGGTAGCCTCTTCATACACAGCAAAAAACGTTGAAATTTAAAATTTTTTGTTACCCAAATATGTAATCTACGTAGTCGAGGAAGGGTAGTGTTGTTCAAGTAGAATAAAGAAACGGTTGTGATAGGCTTAAATTTATTGGATTTATATACGACGAGATCAACAACAATTTTTGATCATCAACAACATTTGAGATCAATCAAACAATACCCAACGTTTACAATTTTTGCTTAAGAAAGTTTGCATTTTTCCCGATTCAGATGTTGTACATTTTTAATATGGAAGTCATTTATAATCACTCGTTTCGCCAGCTTAATGCTCCGCAACTGTGTTTTAAGCAGACAGGTGTTAGCAGGCGACAGATATCACGTCTACGAATATTAGACGTTCATGCGTCTATAAACAACATGACAGCAACAGCTTTTGTCAATATTACTTCAGGGTGATTAGTTGGCGTTGGTTTCTAGGGTCGTGAGATTGGTTTGTTATTCGCAGCACTCTATATATACGGTACTTTTTATTTTTATGAAAATACTGAATTTACTCATCTGAGATTTTACTCAGAAACAATCTTTGTAGGTCTACCAAGGATAAGTTTTACTCAATGTCAACATGGGGCCCTGCCTTCGGGTTTAATGTCTTGAGTTAACCTATGAAGTAAATATTGTTTAGTCTCCAGTTCATGACATGACAAACAAAATAACATATACACTATTTTACATTCTTAAAGCTACAAATTTCCCACTATCGAACAACCACAGAGAAAAAGTAGATATTACTCTTTAGTAAAAGAGTTGATTTGAAAGAACCGAAGTAAATAACGAGATGACGTTGATATTTTGTAACTGATTGCCCTCTGAAGACTCAACAAAATACGCTCTTTGCTATCCTAGGTGCCGTGCCATCAGCCATACACCGCTGCAAAGCATGGGTAGAGCTGCAACTTGTGGAACATTCACTGACCAAACTGTAGCCTTCATTTAGCAAGTGCAATGGTTCCATTCCCGCGAGTGTTGCAGAATGTTTTTGTTTCTCTCACACGTGTGAGTGTGTGAGTGATGTGATGAGTATCTGTGTGAGCAGTTCTCACTATATAGATGACCCTCGCAATGCGCAACATCAGCCACCACCACATGGGGCCTGGGACCCTCCCACGATATACTCACATTCTCGGCTCGGCGAACTGAAGAAACTTGCGTGGCTCTGGGAGTTCTGTAATTGCAGTGTAGTTACTGACTGGTCTCAGCCGGCATCCACTATTACAAACTGTCCTTCATCCAATTCAAATAATCAATTCCCGCCTAATCAACCCGAGTAACATCTTTGCCTTCGTGTTCAACGGAAAAAAAACTCAGTTGAGTCTCCCCTCAACCATCAGTTTGTGGGAGCGAAGTCGTTTGGTAGGTGACTATTCATAGGCGTGTCCATTCGTTGTTTGGTAACAAAGTGAAACGGTCTCTAGACGAGTCTAGATATCCAAGAATGATCCACCTATGATCCACTCCCGTAACCTATAAAAACAATGTGTTGTATTTTTAGCTGTCTTTGACTGTTATATGACACCGTGACGTTAAGTTACCTGCTTTGTGATCTTGATCTAACGTCATCTCGTTGTGTTGGAATTCCGCTTTCTAGATTTTTCACTGAAGTCTCAAGGCGACATGGTTGGTTAATTATTCTACATCTTTAACTTTTCTCACAACATATTTTTAAATCCTCAGAAAGTCTGACCGAAGTAATTCTGTTCCTTAGGCCCCTGTTCGTTATTCCTTAGCTTCACTTCCTTATGATTCCCATCGACTTGTAGAATAACGTGACGTATCAACATCGCGCAATTGCAGCGTGACGTCACGAGGAAAGCCCCGATGTCGCTATCACACAAGTGACGTAACGATGCATGAGGCTCATTCCCGTTAGATGACGTCACAGATACTACGTCACTGTACACATGCAGTGTGATTCATGTTGATATAAAACACTGCCTTGCGGATGGGTTTTAAACTAATCTTTGTTGAAATATTATGATCAAGAAATCGTTATTGTTTCTTCAAATTCAGTTTTAAATAATAACCTATCAATAGAACCTAAGTTTAAACGAATAGGTCAATCATCATTTCCTATCCGTCCCCGTTTGGATAAATTTATGTAGTAAGTTATCAACAAGGGTTAAGTAATAGATTATATATCTAAGAAGACAAAAAGGACAGTAGTTGAACTATCATTTTGCCATTGAAAACTGATATCTCTGCCTGTTATCTTAAGATATATTGCCCCTAAACACATGACGCATATGATGGTCGTGAAATTAATTCATGGTATGCATTTTTAGTGCAGAAACAGAAGATGTGCCTTGTGCGAAAGAACAAATTTTTTTTTCTGAGTCATCAGACTTAAAGGATATAGCGTAGACATATTAATGTTAACAGCCATGCCATAGTTAGTATATCGCATAGCCCAAAGCTAAGAGTGATTGTCAGTATTTGTAGTCGGGCTTCCAGAACCAGAAAGCGCCCCGACACCTAGCCAGACAAGGTGTGTGGTATTGCTGCGAAAGGCACTGCTTCGAAAAAGGTTCGGCTCTAAGCTACTGTTCCAAAAAGAGGTGAAATGCCAGGAACTGCTCCGAAAACATTGCTCGGAATGGAGGAAAGGCATTGTGCCGAAAGCATGTCTAAGGTCAAGCACTACTCCAAATGAATGTCCTCGACCAGGTGCTA